GATATATTTGGATTTAGATATATTTGGATTTAGATATAAGACATAATAAATAAATTTAGATTTAGGATTTATATTTAAGATACAGCCTCGCACTGTGACTGCTGGATATGGGCACCAGTGACCCACCCAACCCTGAAAAGGAAGAAGCGTGTACAGAAAATGGATGGATGGATTTAAGATACAGATATATATTTAAATTTAGGATTTAGATAATATACATATATTTAGATTTAGATATAAGATTTAGAAATAAATATAATATTTGTATATAGATATATGAAGCAGAAATAAATTCAATATAAACATTTAGATATAATATTTATATATAGATTTGATGTATATATTTAACATTTACCATTAAATATGATAAAAATGCACTAATTGTGTTTTTTTTTTTTGCCAGCATGAAATAAAATGAAAAGTTGGGTAGGATGGATGGATGGATGTGTAAGAAATATATTCGTGTTCAAAGGCTGAAGTCAATAGAAAACCACCATTGTTAAATGATATTATTGTTAGACGAAGTAAAACCATACAAAACCAGAATTCTGGAGTGAGGGTTTATTGCCCTTCAGATCTGACAGGAAACACACACTGCCCGTAAACCAGGAAATTGATCCATTTATACAGAGTCTTCAATGCCCGCGTTCGCCCCCTACTGACCTCTACGGCTGAATCACGGGCATTCATACACAATTCTCACCTACTGTTCTCATAACGGATAAATATGTGTTGTTATAGATATTTCGGACATGTAACTAATCTATATCAATTAACACATAATAGATTAAACATTATGAAAAGGAAAACCTAAAAATATAGTGTTGTGCTTTTAACATCAGTACTAATCTGTAATAACTATAAATTTCTTCGGATGGATGGATGGATGGATGGATGGATGGATGGATGGATGGATGGATGGCAGCACTTCTTAGACTTTCCAATACAAAGAACAAAAAATTTAAAAACATCCAGTCTAAGGAGAATTGTCCTTTTACTCAAGTTAGGAAAGTATTTTAGGGCAGTTTCTAAGATTTCAAGATCATCAGTTTATACTAATGTATGGAAGTAAAGTTTCTTTGGATGTCACCTGTTTACCTGGTTTACTTTTCCCTGTGATGTACAGAAATTGGTTAGGATGTTCAGGAATAACCCACACTAAAGCCTGCCATGATTGTTTCTGTGTACATTTATTTCACCTTTTTCTCTGATTTATTGCTGCCCTAATCATTCACACCAACGTGTTTCCTCCTTTAAGGTTACTTCTTAGAGTTCCAGGAGCCGCTCAACAACATCACTCACTTCCAAGGCCAGACTGCCACGCTGCATTGCAAAGTTGCAGGAAATCCTAGACCGTCAGTCCGTTGGCTGAAGAATGATGCCCCTGTGGTTCAGGAACAGGGACGCATAACCATTCGTAAGACAGAGACTGGATCAAAACTCCGCATCCAGGACCTGGACACAACAGACACGGGCTATTATCAGTGTGTTGCCTCCAACTTACTGAAAGTCATCTCTGCTACAGGTGTTCTTTATGTCAAGCTAGGTATGTTTCTCATCAGATAAGTCTGAATTTGTTTTAACTATAATAGTCAAATATTAATGATGGGTTTGTTCTTTCATCATCTCCTTACACTTACAGTAAGTTATGGATTGATAGCTTGGACAAAGAGGTTTTGTTATTTATTTTGTTGTGATCGTTTTTTTTAACTTAAACTGCAAATCTGTGGCTAGTTTCATGTCCATCAGTAAAGTTAAATGTGTCAATAATATGTTGTAAGATAAACTGTTTCATTTTGGATTTACAGGACAGATGCCCACCAAAGAGCCAGTTGAACCGTAAGTGAATGTTTTTAACGTTTATTAACTTCTACTGCCATGAAAGGTGGGCAGTAATTAAAGCGTGAGCAGCATTAGTAGTATTGGTGAATCAGGATGATGACTTTCTAATAAGAGCCGAGCACCAACAGCAAAGGCTACAATCCATTCAAAAATACTTACATCTTAAATGTTGATATTTACATTTAATTTTTACATTTAGATTTACACATTTAGATGTAAGATTTAGATTTAGGATTTAACATTTAGACATAACATTTAACATTTTGTGTTCACAGCTTCACATCATTTAATCACCAAAGTCATCTAAACGTGACTCAAGTTTTTACTAAAATCTGCTTAAAATACCTCAGTGAGTTTTATTGTTGTGCTGAACGTTTATTTTGTTTATGCAACATTTGCACAGAGGGAAACTGCTCTCCTAATGAATCAGAAAATTAACATTTTCTGTATCCGTGGGTGAAATTGCAAAAGATGCTAAACTTGAGTTTTGCACATCTGTGATTAAAAGATTTAAGCTACAAAATTTGATGTAGTGGTAATGCACAGCAAGTTAAATTCTACAAATTCTAAAATGTACATAAAACATGAATTACCAACAGTCAGATCAAATTTTTATTTTCATTCTTTTATTATTTTAGGCTGCAACTTAGTGTTTTACTTGTTTTTTTGGTAGCACCCTGAAGATTTTGAGTTGAAGTGAAAAATGTCCTCTGAAGAATATGAAGTTGAAAATCATTGCAATGCGAGGCTTGTTTACATCCCAGCATGCTGCTCAAACTGGGAACTGAGTACCCTATTGATCACAACTATGATAGTCAGATATAAAACAGCACTTCAGTAATAAGGCCTGTTAATGGTTGTCATCAACAAAATTTAAGTCTAAACCCAAACCAGCTGTTAAATGGATAGTCTGGTCATTTTTTCATTAACCTTTTTAATTAATTACTAATAGTCAACACCTTATTAGACATTAATCATAGAGCACAGAGTGGGGAGACAGAGTCAAAGTTATGTGTGTTAGACTTTATATGACATCCTTATAGTTTTGTCACTGTTTTTCAGCTGAACAATGTTACTGTTGCTGTGTAAATGTGTGTGTGCTGAGCACAGATCATATGCCAATAACACTGAGGCTGCATATACAGTGGGGTGCGAAAGTTTGGGCAGCCTTGCTAATTTTTTCTGATTTCTGATTTACAAATCATTGATTGTTTGGGAAAAATCAGTTAAATATATGATATAGGGCAGGGGTTCTTAACCTTTTTGACCTTGAGGCCCAATTCGTTGAACATAAAGTGGCACGAGGCCCAGTCAGACATTACCAATGTATGGATCAAAATGATAATTATTCTAAATCTTGGTTTAATTTTTATTGTATTTACATCATAACTAAACTATCATAACTAACATAACTAAATTAAATATACTTACAGTTTAAAAGCAAAACTCCTGTAAAATAATCACAAGACATGATTATAACAAACATTTTTATATTGTAACCTGCCCATAACAATTATTT